AATCACCAACTGTCAAACATGGCAGTATATTTGTGCTTGATTTGCATGTCATTTGTAGCTCTACTTGGAGCAGTTGTATAATGGTAGTGAGAAAAGTATTGTTCTGCAAGTGCAGTCTATCCACTATTGGTAATGCGGAGTGACATTGTGAAAAATAAAGTTTAGAAAAAAGCATCATCTTATGTAGTATTAAGTAATTAATAAATCAATAGACATTCTTTATAATCAAATGAGGAACAAAATCAGCAAACCTCCAGTGGAATATGCTCCAAATAAATTACCGCCAATTGGAAAAGGTGGTTCAGGAGGGAGGGCAACATGTGTTGCTTGGTAGTCTTTTCCACTTGAATGTTGCGATAAATCTAGAGTAAAAAAATTCCCAGTTGAAATATTTGAAATGGAAGTTTTTGTTAATAGATTTATTACATAGCTGGCTCCATTAGAAGGTAATATCATGCCAATGCTCTCCTGATTAGCTACCCAATCCACCTTAACTTGATAAAAAGAAAAAGTTCCTATCCCTAGGTCAGATTCTTAAAAATGAAAAGCCCCCTCATCATTGTTTGAAACTTGATTCCTTGAACCTGTAGTTAGATGAGACTGGCATTTTAAATAGGGCCTTCCATATAGTTGACAGTTTAACCTTTGCAATTTTCCCAAACAAAATTTTTACCCTGTACACACTAACATCAGAATCCATTTTCTCTGTACTCTTCTCCAAACATTTCTTTTGACTGGCAAGGAGAATTTGTTTTCCAATCAAAGTTCTCTGGGTTGGCAATCATTTCCTACATTCTCATTATCTTAATAAATGACTCAGCTGCATTACTATTGGGAGAAATTAGATGCTGGTCACTCTTAAGGTTTATAGGGTTAAATAAAAATTTGCATCTTTTCATTGCTTAGAAGCAATGTCATAGAAACCGTAAATGGGTACTTTTTTTGAGGTTAGAAGTGGTTTTCTCAAAAGAGTGAAAAAGGTACCTTTTTTGTGGCATTGAGAAATGGTGTTTTTATATCCAGAGACACGATATTTCAGATTCTCAGCTCTTTTAAACAATCAGAGTTCATTTCTTTTAACAAAAAGTAGCCTTGCTATTTAATCATTTGATACATCATACCGAAACTTTATTCTGAGAACTAAAATTGTAACCAATGTGGCTGGCAGTGTACAGAACAAGAAAGATAATTTACTTTACGGAGTCACTCTCCCTTGGTCGTTGAGAAATGTTTTTAAAGCTATCTTTTAATCTACTCTTCCACGAAAGCTGCTTTAAGCTTACTGAATGATTGAAACATTAGTTATTCAAGAGAAGTCAATCTCTAGGCGGAAAATAGATCTGAAAGTAAACAAGGTCAAAGCTCAAATAGACAACAACCAAGAGGAGTTTCCAACAAACAACTTTCATTTCAAGGTGATGACACATTTCGTAAAAAGACAGGTTCGAGGAAAGAATTAAAAGAAGCTGTTTGTGTACTAATGGACGCAATCGAACGGCGCCAGGGATTAAATTCTTTTTGCTGGTCGAACGAAGCGTCCAAAGGAATTAGTTAAAAAATATAAAAAAGTACACTTCAGTTACACTTGCGAAATTTCATGTCCACTAATAGCTATTTTTCATTTTCGTAATAGTTTCTTACATGCCTGTGCAGATCATCTTATAAACGCAAATTGACCGATTTTGGGCATGTTTTAAAGTAAACGCTCTAGATATTTGACCAGATCTACCTGTAAATTCGACGGGTCTGAGAATGTTTACAGCATCGTCTCTTCCCATGTCTTTTAGAAGTTCAATCAGATGTGTCACTGTCTTAACTTCTCCGTTTTTTTGCCAAGACATCCACCATTCGTGTAACAGGGACACCGTCGGGTTCTTTTGTCGCTCAAAATTCCTTACCTTTTCGTAGGTATAATTCATTTTTCCGGCAAGATATCTAAAATCTTTCATAGGATGTCTAGGATTTAGTTTCATACTAAGCTGTTCGAGTACATCCATACTCAAACTACTCAGAGGTGTACAGGCTCGCTTCGTCTCTGAAGCCATGTTTTCTTCACCTGAGTAGGGAGGGGTAGGGGCGGATGCTTTGTGGGCTGAATAGGGACCTCAAGCATCGATGACTTTGGTTGTCACGGACGTTCGAACGTTCGCAGGAGGGGGAATCTGGGAACGACGTTGTCGCCAACAGAGTTCGTGACATGACTGCGTTAAGAAAAATTTACAGACGTTGTCGGTCGACCGTGAAATGTAAACACATCCTTGGCGTACTCTCGATCTTGACGATGTCCAGTTTAAAGGAAGCTCGAGAAATGCTTTCTCTAGCATGGAGTCATCATTTTATTTCCGAAGAAGAATTTTTGTTATTGTATGACGCTAGTTTCTCCAAAAATCCATCATTTCCTCACGCCGACTACGATCGTTTTGATCTCGATTCTATGGACGAAGCAGAGTGTTTTCAGGAGTTTCGAGTAAGAAAAATGGACATTGTTAGACTTGCTGATGCCCTTGGATTACCTGCGAGTCTGTGCTGCCACCAACGAACTAAGGCCAACCGCATAGAGGGACTGTTGCTAAAAAGATTTGCATACCCATGTCGTTTGGGTGACATGATCCACNGTCTGACCCCCTCCCGATGACCTTTGGGGTGCCACAGGGGAGTATTTTAGGACCGCTTCTATTCTTGGTTTATATTAATGACCTTCCTCTGGCTATAAATAATTGCAAAGTGACTTTGTATGCTGATGACACGGTCCTGTACTACTTTGCTAAGGAGCCACACCTGTTGGAAGAGGCACTGAATGATGATCTCTTGCAAGTTGCCCAGTGGCTACATGGAAATAAGCTAACTTTGAGTCTTACTAAGACTAAATCCATGATTATAGGTAGTAGTAGGAAACTCGTTGGTATTTCCTCTTTCTCATTATCTATTTTTGACACTGATATAAATTCTGTAACTAGTTTTAAATATTTGGGAGTTATGTTGTCCTCAACTTTTACATGGTCCGACCATGTTGAGTATATGTCATGTAAGGTTACAAAGAACCTCGGTCTTCTACGTAGGATTAAGTATTATTTACCTTATAATGCTCGGTTACTTTTTTATAATAGCTTAGTGTTGCCTATTTTTGATTATGCCGATTTAGTCTGGGGTGACAAGGACAATGTCACACTAATGAAGGAATTGCAAATTCTGCAAAACAAAGCAGCTAAGTTGATATTAGATAGATCGCTTCACTCCTCATCTACTGATGCATTAACAGCCTTGAGATGGCCAAATCTTGAAGAACGTAGGAAATGTCATCGATGTATATATGCATACAAGTGTATTAATGGCGAAATTAATCATTCTTTGGACATTGTAAGAAAGAGTGATATGCACTCCTACAATACGCGCAATAACGATACTATAAAGCTCCCCAAAATCAAATACAATTGGGGAAAACATCGTTCGCGGTATCACTGTTTCAAAGACTTTAATGAGTTAGAGAGAACTGTAAGAAACTCAGTAAGTTTGCCAATTTTTAAGAAGTGTCTTTTTTCTGCTTTTTATAATTAAGTATTTTTTTAAATTCATTTTTGCAGTGTATATGTTGTAATCATTTTTATATTTCGATTTTAGTTCAAATTTCTATATTTTAATTGTATTTTTATATAATACACATCTAGTATTTAGGACCTCTATGTAAACCACTATTGTGATGGAGCTTCCTAATAAAATATTGTTATTATTATTATTATTAGAATGCTGTCACGTAGGTTAAAACGATTGACTTATTAATTATCCGCTAAGATTTGCAATCTGAACAGTTTGAGAATAAGCACTCTTCTGGATGTTTATAAGCCCTATGAAGACGACTACAGGCTTTCATAGCAAACCTCGATGACACGATTTTGTTAGCTTCCGGCCGCCATATGCCCATCAGAGGAATACAACCGCGGTGTCTCAGACAAAGCCTCATAAATTTGAGTAACACAATTCTTCGAATATCTCTCTCACGAAACATTGCACAAACCTGAATCTTTTCGAGACTAAAATAAATAGAAATAAACTTTATTTTACGCTCGGCAGTGTTTATTGCACACAAGTGCTAGTGGGGCCAAGCAAACAACTGAGACAAATAATTCAAATTGAACATAACAGTGCTAAGAATCTGAACTGTCCGGAGGCAAACCAGTTTACAAGCGTGGCCGAGGATTTGAACTCGGAGCTACCATGAAACAAATCCAAGTAGTGGTCAGGGCGCGACTCGAAAGGGAAACCTGTAAGAGAGACTGTTTGAATATTCATTTTATTTTACCACTTTGATTCTTGACTTTATTTGTTGAACGGTTTTGAAGATGGTGTGACAGGAGACAGTGAAAAATGGCAGTAAAAGGGGCAACTTCTTTGTTCTGACTTGCACAATTCTAACTTAAATGCTTTTGCATAGTTTTTTTCCTCTTTTTTCTAGTCTTTCATCCAGTAACCACACTTTTGGTGAGGGATGTAAACTCTCGGTGCCATAGGGCCATTCTTATGTTTCTCTTCATGCTTACGCGCATATGTTACACTTCTCCTAACAGATGTAGGGAATGGACATAAATCAAATCTTCCAAATTTTTCACATTTTCCTTTTAGAACTCAATTTCATCAACACAAAAATTTCTCCCTCGTCTAATCACAGTCAACTCTCTCTTGGGTAACCACCTTTAGCGCCGAAAAAAACTGGTCTCAAATTTTGCGAAAGATCCCAGATTTAAAAAGTTCAAGCGACTTGTTTGAGCGGGAAACAACGCGGCAAGAGCGGTTTGTGAGAATGACCTGAAACTTTGTTCTTACTCTTTTATCAATTGTCTTTTCCTTTACGCTTTGATTTCCTTTGTTCCGACATATCATCTAGTCTTCTCTCCAATTTTCTCTGTAGCTGTGCTTTACGAGTTACGTCCAATGCCTTTGGTTTCCCTGTCTTTGGCTTGCTAGCTTGTTGTCTAGCTCTTAATTTTGCTGCTTCACCACAACCGTGAACCTCCGGGATTTGATGGGACAAGCAGAACGTCCTATCACAACATGTACACAACTGTCCTAGAGTTCTTATGCTCTTTTTGCAGCCGTCGAAACCACATTGTGTGTCTAACTTGGTAAAAGAAGCCAACAGTTTGTCCAAGTCTTCCTCTGGTTGTAAAGCTGTCGAGGATTTGCTTCTAACTTTTGTCTTCTGAGGCTTGGCACTTGGCGGAGCTGACAACTCCTGATTCCGTTCTGCTTTGTTTGTTTCAGCCATTTTAGATCTCTGTATCTGGTCGCAACGTAGAGAATGTAACTGAAGATTACAAGCTGGGATTCGCTTCCTGCACAAGGGACAAGTGCTCAAAAGGTCGGAATCACCTTCGTCGTCTACAAAAGACAGAAAATAATAGAATTTGTACATTCTGACTCTATGGCTCCTGCGGTGAGCTATAACGAGTTTTGAGAACGTCATTCCATGCCAAAATCTCCTAGCTTTTGTCTCTGAATATATTTCCTGCCTCATACCCGCTACTAGAGGCAAAATATTACCTTAAACTCGTCCAGTAGCTTAAAAAACACACAAAGGACTCGCCACCGGTTCTGTCAACAGTTCTAGAAAATAAATGTGACGCGCTTATTTTCTGAGGGTTATTTTTCTGGGGTTGCTGTGAAAATAAAAAATTCTGCTCTGACAGCCGTATCCTGATCAAATTCCGCACAATTATCTGCTGTCTCGATGCTTGCCGCTAAAATCAATGCACCCTGTTCGAAATTTAGTGGCAGAATCAATGCAAGCCTTAAAAACAAACTCAGCAGTATAGGGCAATTTTTTCATTGGCCAAAGGAACCCGGAAATACATTGGTTGTGTTTCAATTCGCTCATTCTACACAACACACTCTACTGTCTCAACCAATCAGAAGTAAACTAAAAGTAACCAATTGCGTCCTGCTCATTCGCGTTTACTCGCGCTTCTGATAGTTTACATGTACTAACGACCACTTGTGATATCTTCCTTTGTTCTTATTAGCCATTTCAATCAATTTGGTTTGGGTTTTGCGATCCTCGATCGAGAAGTGACCTGTACGAAATTCTGATTAATTATCGCTTAAATTTAAATTTTCGCGCGAATTAAACCACCAATTAGAAACCTTGCATGAATCTCCAGACCGTGGCCTGGGACATTGACTGAGTGTCGTCGCTTCCCAGAGTGTTCTGGAAAGTTACTACCATATAACCACACACATTTTCCTTGAAATTGTCAAATCAAGTTGGTAAAAGGATGGGTGAAAACAAACCTTGCAAAGCTGATGTCACTTTTCTAACCACGATATACCTCTCCTTACCCTCTCCATGGCTCTCATGGCCGAGTGACAACTTTTCTGCAATGCTGTGGACATCAAACCTCTGTTGTGAGTTCAGCGTCTTCGGGAAAGTCAACTCTTTCTTCGTAGCATCCTGAATGAAAGCTAAAATTTCTTTTTCAATATTTTCGCGGTTGTAATTCGTCGTCACAGTATTACTACTTTGACGTTTTTCTTGTTTCGTTCTTTTGAAATTGTTTTCAGAATTTTGTTCACTGTTTTCTTCCGTAAGATTGAACGGTTTACCAGAAACAATCGAAGCAACATCTTTTCTCTCCTCAGCTCCGCTAATTTCTAATTTTCGAATGTCCTTTCCGCTTTCAGAATCATTTGTTGACTTGAGGTCCTGTTTTTCTTTTAATTTTCTTAATTTAGAAACGGGTCTCGTTTCTCCAGCATTCTCCTTTTTCTTCCATTCACTACCTGTCATTTCGGACATAGAAACTTCGTCCTGTTGGTTCGTGTAACAGTTAACAGTAGTTGGAAGTGAATCCTGGAGATATTCGTGAGCCGATCGCACCTCTCCTGCACTGCTCATGTATTCCATCAGGGATTTAAGAAAGTAATCATGACTGACAGTCTCGGAATCGACGACAACGGCCAGATGACGACGAGCTCGAGTTATTGCAACGTTAATTCGCCTGTGTTCGGCAAGAAAACCCACTTCGCCTGAAAGAAGAAGAGATCGATGAAAAGGCATTTGAAAAGTTGTTACGTGAACAAGAAAAATGTGCTCAAGTTAGGTACATGACCAACCTCGTTCCCAGGGTCTCTCATTTTCCCGCCCCCCAACGCTCCAGGGACGGGAAGATGAGAGACCCTGGGAACGAGGTTGGGAACATGACAGCAAGTTTCAGGACAATGCGAGAGCAAAAGCTAGGATTCGGAAAGATCTAAAAATTTGTATTAGAGAATGCTTACTAAAAAACAAAAACAACAAACAAAACATACACGAAACAAAAGACTTGGTTAACTTTTATTTTAACAAAGAAAGCGTCATTTGGCTATAATCAAAACAAATTAACGGCCTATACATTTGGCCCTATTGCTTCAAAAGGCGGTTGGCTTTAATTAGTGTTTAAAAGTCCTTTCGTTTTTATTTCTAGTATGTAAATGCAAAACTGAAGGCTAAAGTTTTGTGGGAATTTATCGAAGTGGAAGGGAAGGCCCAAAACACCAAAACATTAACGGTTAATCTGTCTGTAAATCCATAAAACTTAATAAAATTGACATTAACCCTCGATTAGTTTGATCATGTGTCGAGCAAATTGGTCGAATACGCCGAATTATGTTACCTTTTTCGTTCGAACGAACTAGTGATATAACAACAGCTTCCTTCTCTCTTCCTTGAAAGCCATCTACAGATTTGATTTCCAGCGCTGGATACTTTGACGAGAGACGCAATCTAAGTAGCTCCACCTTGAAAAAATGGGCGAAGAGAGAAACGAATAGAGGGAAATTTAAAAGGAAAAATAGTGCTCCGTTTTAAAACTTATCTACGTTGCCTCTATATTTATATTCGTTATTTTGGGCCGATTAGATCACTGCTGATCTAACGTACAAGAGGACGATTATCGTCCACGGTTGCTTGCTGAACATTTCACAGTTAAAAAAAAAAAAACCCAATAAGCATCAAATTGAGTGTCGAAAGTAATGCTAGGTGGTATCAGTCTTACTAACCTCGCTATGAGATTGGTCCTGAAAACTCGTACCACGCTCTAACCAATCAGATGTAAAAACCAAAAACTGACAAGACCCCCCCCCTTCCTTCTCCAAGCTTATGTGAGTCTTTTATAGCTTGTAGTAACGAAGGTAATCCTTCAACAACGGCGGATGTTTCAGACCTAAGCTATCTGTTTCAATTTACCTGCAAGTTGTAAGGTGCGATGACAGCGATGTCACTAGGTTGGAGCCCAGCCGTCGTAAGCGCCATGACATGTGCAGCGACAATGTCAGCCTCGCCTTCATTCCCTTTTGATACCTCGTCTTCCACTTCCTTTTCTCTGACGTCACATCCCGCAGTGTCAATCAAAAGAAGCGGAAGTGACGTCTCGTCTGTTCCCTGAACTCCAGGAAGATCTTTTAAAAGATGTGATTTCACAGAGCTGTCTGCGTTAAGTCGACCACCATACAGTTTTTCAGACGACCACTTCATAATCGTCTCATTCATTCTGAGACAAAAAGCGTGTGACAAGTCAGGTTTAAAAATATTATATTCACTTGTCCTGAGAAAAAGATAGTCTAAGAAAAACATTTTCCGTGGGTATTCGAATCCTAACAAGTTAGCAACCCGTTCAAACATTCTCCTTCTCAATTCAGAAGGAATTAAATGAAAGCCATCTTCACAGTAATGAACCCTACTTATGTAGTAGTGGAAATAAGGCCTGAAAAAAAATTAACCTTGTTACCAGGGTCTCTCATCTTCGTGTCCCCTAGAGCGAGAGAGGTGCTGGAAGATAAGAGACCCTGGAAACGAGGTTGAATAATTTCCACATTCAAAGTACAAAAATTTACAGCTTTGCACTGAACCTGTATTGCGTTGTTAACATGCACACGGCTCCATCTCCCAGCATTTTTATGAGTCTCTCCATTAAAGTAACTTCTAAGCCTCGTTTGGCTGCTTCCTTGGATAGTATTGTGGGAGGTAACTGAAGGTGATCACCTGCAAGAACACACCTGGAGAAGAAGGAAAACAAACATAGAGATACAATCAAACCCGCACAAATAACACGCTTACCCTGATGGAAAACCTTAATTCCGGTTTCAGAAAAATTCTTTCTGTCAAACAATTTTGGTTCAGTAAGCAGTTTCCTTGAGTGAGTGAAATTCATCCTAAAAACACAAAATATGCAGCTTACGATCATATTACCATACAAGAGTTGGACCTAATTATGGCAATACTAGAATTATAAATTTCTGAATACTAAAAAATCTGCAATTCTGTCACCCCTTATTATGGACTTTTTTTAACAAATCAAATTATGTCTATCAGAAAATTTGATTTGTTAATGATATCAATGATATTCTCTATCTGCTGAGGTTTATCCATAATTTTTTTGGTATTCACAAGTTTAGCTTGGTTTTTTCTTACATTAGAGCTTCTACTAGACTGTGCATTTTAAGAATCTTTTATATTCTCTATCTTCACCATCATAAACATACTGAGTGTTCTATGGAGTTCACAAACCTTGATGCCTGCAGTAAAGGTATCCAGCAGCCAGCCTCTAATGATTGGGCAGCCTCATCAATGACAACCAAATCAAAATGGTCCTGCTTGACAAGTTTAAGGGGACCATCAGAGGATGCACTAGTATTGGTTGCCAAGACAACATCAGCGCCAGTGAGAATCTCTGTGACAGCTTTATCTTCTCTTTGTTTCAGTTCTCCTCGCAGAGATTTTACTTCTTGTTTGAGGTGCTTCTTTTCTGATTGATTCCTTGATTTCCTAACTTTTGACTGATGATGGCAAGGAATGAAAGGAAAAAAGGAGGAAAACTGCCATCAAAATGTCAAATTTGTCAAACTGATTATGCTTAAAAATTTCCACAGACCAATATGGAATTCATAGAGGCCCCTGCCCAACTGAAGCTATGTTCCACAAAAGGCAATGATTTGCAAGAATGATTCTTTTATATCTAGTTGATCTATCATAACAATATTATTGAATCCATCGAGAATTTACAAATCCTGTTAAAGCAACAAGCTTTACTATATCAAACTGCCTTGATTTTCCTCAAGTATCAAATAACAAGTTGCAAATGAAGCAGAAGTTGCCATGAGCAACTTTTTGAGGAAAACCCAAAACCAGTGGAGAGCAAGTGGCAAAGCATCCTGTCACACCTCAGTAGAAGAATAAAATAGGACAGGAAGAAACAAAAGGATGGTTAGGTTCAATACAAAAGTATACTTGAGAACAAGAAAGCAAATCAAGTATGCTTTTGCTCTGAACCAAAACCACCATTTTATTTCTCTCTAACATGATCATTTGCCTGTAAATTTCCATGGATGAGGGGACTAAAGAAAGCATACACTCTTCCCAGACCCTAACTGGTTCACCTCCTGGTTAGCTCAGTTGGTCTGCCTCCTGGTTAGCACAATTGGTAGAGCGCCAGACTGTTGTGCGGGAGGTCGCGGGTTCAAGCCCCGGCCGGACCAACACTCAGGGTCTTAAAATAACTGAGGAGAATTTGCTACCTTTCTATAACATCAAGAAATGGATAGATATCTAATAAATTAATATTAAATTAACTGATTTTGGCTCATCTCCACTGACTGAAGGACTAGCACAGGGCTATTATGTCCATACCAGTGTATCATCAATGTCCTTTCTGACATCTCGCACAATGGCTGTTCCTTCAGAGGTAGACAGCAGGGCATCCAAGGAATGATCCTGAACAACACTGAGCAATCTAGCAGGGTGACCAATCCTCACAACCTTTACACAAAATAATCAATCACAATTAAAACTGAGAACTCTGGGGTTGTAGTTAGGAGTCAGCGACTGGATAGATTACAAGCAGTACCCTTTTTTTTTTTTGGTGAGGTCTGTTGCACAAGTCAAAAAAAAAAAAAAACGGTGAAAATAATATTAGCATGCCATGCAGAACTCTGGGAGTGAGTTCCACACAGAGAGTAACTTCATTTTTTTTCACTCCTTTTTTTACTCTCAAGACGGACTTCATCAAGATGTTTTGAAGTCTAACAAGAGGCCAAACTTGCTGTTTACCCTATATAAATGTAACTATGCAAGTTATCTTAGATTAGTATATACTAAAACAGTGGATAGCGTTGAAGGCACGCTCTGATTGGCTAGTCAAACTCCGAATATCCTTTGCTATTTACCTC